TCTCTCTCGTAATAAGGTATTTCGTGAATCAATAAAATGTGGGGGGGGGAAGAAAGAAAGAAAGAAAGAAAGAAAGAAAGAAAGAAAGAAAGAAAGAAAGAAAGAAAGAAAGAAAGAACGAACCTCACCCTCACATATGAACTTCTCTCCACAGGCCTTCACCAAAAGCATTAGCCGAGACAAGCACTTGGCGGTGGCTTACTTCCAGCGAGGGATGCTCTACCACCAGATCGCGAAGTAAGTGGTCCAGGGTCGAGAACCCGCCAGGCCTCAGTCTGCTGGACATAGCGTTTGAGAAGCATCCTCCCGGCCTCTGTTGGAAAGTGACTGGCCCTTGCGGGACCATTGCACGACAAATCAGCACGAGGTGGAGGCTCTGCCAGGGAGGGGGTGGGCCCTCCACCCCATCGTACATCCCCGTGAGCCTCGTAACCCCCACAGTCCTGGCCATCAGCTGGCAGGGCACCGTCAGTGTCCCGGATGGAGATGCTCACGATGGTGTCTGAGCAGGTTACAGAATGGGGACTGTTGTGGAACCACATCAGACCCGCTTCATCCCAGCATAATGTGGAAAACATGTTTTCAAAGCCTCGCTTTTGTTTGTTTGTTTTTTAAGAGAGAGATTTTTTTTTTTTGCTATAGGACCAGAGAGACAGAAAGTGAGAAATCATCTCCCCAAGGGGCATGGCCACACAGCAGTCCCTTCTCCTCCATTTCTCCTCTTGGGATTCAGGGTACGCACACACATGCGCCTGGTGTGAGTTTTAAGTTGCCGGTCTGGGACCTGAACTGCAGTCAGCCAAGGGCTAGTCCAGCACCTTAACCACTATGCCACCTGCTGACCTTGTCAAGGCCTGGCTTAATCCAATCAAACAAATAGAATCAGCCCCCTCCCCATGCACCCAAATAATACAAGCTGGTAACATATATAAGAATAAATTAATACAGATAAATAACTAGCATTTATATTAGCAAGAAAACATTTACACTAGATGTTAAATTTTGAAAATGTTTCAAAACGACGGGTCTAGCACAATTCCATTTCTGTTTCACCAAATAAAGTCTGGAAGGTCACAGACCAAAATGTTATCAGAATTGTTTCTTGGATGTTGAGATTATAGAAAAATCCGTTTTTCTTCCATCATCCTATCTGCGTTTTTTGGCATGTTAGCAATGAACATGACATACTTAGTAAAAAGATACATACGAAATGAAAGTTGGTCTCATTCCATCCCCTCCCCCATAGCCGTTGGGATATGGGTCCCAAACATACAAGCAGCAAAAGCCGATAGCAAAGGAAAAATACTGTCAGTTTAAAATGTTTTTAGGGATGGGAGATGAGCCTTGTAGAAATCGTTCCTCTGGGATGCAGAAATTCTGGGGAAGCAGAATCCGGCTCAAGCTAGTGAACGACGTCCTCACATGATAATGGTTCAGGCGGGGTGTGGATGGGGGTGCAGGGGAGGCCAGGTGTTGGGGAGGAGGGAGGCTGCAGAGGATGTCCAGGCACTGGGGAGGGGGCTGGACTCCCATCCTGGGCCTCACGGAAAGGCTTTGATCTGGAGTTGGGTCAGAAACAGAGCCAGAAAGCTTCCGTGGGCTCAGCTGTTGCTAGGGGCAACCATGAGAAGCCCAGAGGACTTCAAAGAAATCGATGCAGTAATTACCTGGATGAGTAGGACTAGAAGTGAAGTCTTCCAGAAGAAAAAGCACAGACACAGAGGCCATCTGGACAGAGAGGACTGGGCGTGGGAGAAGACACCGGTGGTCGGGAGAAAGGCATTCACCTTCACACCACCCAGCCTGTCCCACCTCCTGCCTGGCTTCCTAACCTCCTCTCATCTCTCCCTTCTCCCGCACAATTCTAGAATTCACAAGGACGCTCCAGTGCGAATTCTCCAGCTAATCTTAAATCTCAAAAGACAGATTCTAAGGCCGTCCCTCTAATTAGCTCTAATAACCTATAATGAGGAGTGATAACTGGCAAAAGAGGGAAGGCTCCCAGCAGGAA